GCAACACGAGTCTTGGATGGCAACATCAAAGGTTTATGAAATTTGGGGCGGAGATTCGCATACGCTTTATTTCGGAGACGGGGGAATGTATTTAGGAGTGTGGGATGGTTGAAAGGCAGAGGATAGTTCGAGGGCTTGGAAGGAGAATTGACAAGCAAGAGAACGGGCATGCGGATGAGTGTACTCAATTATCACTTTAGTACAAGATTTCCATATTCTCCATAGTAGACAAACACATTGGAGAATGTGGATTCGAAATTTTTCGGTAAGCATAACATTACGCCACCATAAACTAATATTCACAGTTGGGGCGGAGGCAAGCAAATCGCTTAATGTCACAACAGTCCATAGTTTGATGCATAGGGTGCAATGGAAGAACAAACACTCAATACTCTCTTGATCCCAACAAACAGGGCGTCAGGGAAGAGAATTTACCCCTCGGGATTCACGAGCAACCATTGTGAGTAGTACCAATTCTAGCTTCATCTACATTTTATTTCTTAACATCGTGCTTGATTAGTAAGTTAAGTTACCAAACCAACTAGGTTAACGACGAGGTTATAGAAAATAACCCCTATAGGAAGTCGTAATGGAATATCCACAGAATTATACATTTTTGGGATTATATGACAACTCTCCAAGTTGACTTCGTTAATTTACCTACCTAATTTTCGTCTTTATTGATTACTTGCACGACAAGTAAGATAAATTACCAGGTCGATTTGGTTAACGACAAGGTTGTGAGAATATATGACCCGTATAGGAAGTGGAACAAGAGCGAGAATAAGGTAAAAAGGAGTCATATGACAGGAGAGAGGAGCACTTCTACTATGCTATATAGTATTGGTGCTTTAATGTACAACTTAAAGTTGTACCATAACATTAAATGTATAAGTTTAGGTTGTACCATAAAGCAATTTGTACCATTATGTTATGGTACAACTTTACAACTTGAAGTTGTACCATCACATAAAGGTACAAGTTCAAGTTGTACCATAAAAGAATTTGTACAAAAAGTATAGGTACAATCTGAAATTGTACCATAACGTAGTTGTACAATTTTAAGTTGTACCATAAAGGCAAAACCCTATAGCACCAATACTATATAGCATAGTAAAATTTCTCCAGGAGAGAGATATGAAAATGAAGATATAGTCTGCTTAGTTGTTTTTTAAATTTGACGGGAAATCGAGGGTTGAGGTTTGATGGAGAGTTTCAGAATTCCGGTAGTTGGTGGCCTGTAACGAATTTTAACGAGACAATTTATTTTGGTTTAGTTTTTTTCTTGGTAAGTTTTGGTTTAGTTTTTAAGTTAGTGGGGATAAAAAAATATTCATATGTATCTCCGTTATGGAAACAATATAAATATAATATACAAGACTTTTGCAGGATAGATCACAAAAAGTAAAGTAAACAAAAAAAAACGTTAGCCGACAAGAGTACCATCCAACAATACGAGAGCTTTTTTGCCATGGAATGGGTGGCCTTGTTATACCTACGAGACACGAAATGAAACGTAACACGGTTAAAACGATGATCGTAGCACCTGAATCTCTTGTAGGTTAACTCATCCCATCGCGTGTGATGAATCTTATGCATTGAGAACGTTCCATTGAACAAGAAGAGTGAAACAGACTATGTCTCTAGTTCAAAGACATAAAAGAAAGGGTGCACTTGGAGGCAACTGAAGATTATAGTTTTATTTTTATTTATTATTTGATATAATTTTATTTTATTTAAATTAAATTAAATTAAACTACAATAGTTTTTGTATTTTTTGTATACTTCAGGCCCAAGCTATCAATCTATTAAGGAGTTCAAGCGAAAAAAAGGAAGAAAGTAGACGCTAACCCGCACCACCATGAAAATTATGGGCCCATACCATCTATTTGTTGTTTCTCACAAGAAGAATAAAAAAAGTCATCGCCACATACAAGGAAAAACAACGACAATATCAATTAAATGAGAAATAATTCTTAGTTTATGGTTAATCCATTTATTCCTATTCTCAAGATCATTTAATATGTGACCCAATGAAATTATCAAGTTCAATTTGTCATTATTAGTTATTACTCACATTTATACATATTTCCCCATAAAAAACGAATACAAAATCGTGGTCAATAGACCATGATTTGCCATTGTAACAAAATCTTCAAAAAAATCGTTAAAATGCTCGTTTACTATGCAAAAACAAAAATCTAAGTATATATTTTTTGTTTTACAAAAGATAGATATATATTGATTCAATCCAAAAGCTAGTTACACCCTGGAGCTCAGCCAGGTCTGAAAATCAAAGACAGGATTCGGGGACAAAAAAAGGGTCTTTCTAGCCACCAAATGGGCTACCCTATTGCTACACCGACCTACAAATCGAACAACAAACTCTGAATGAGGACTAAAATACTGCCTAACTTCTTCAAGAACAGCCCCTTCCTGATTGTCTCTGGTATCTGCCTCAATGATCACCTTGGCATCACCTTCAAAAAAGACGTTCGTAAATTCAAGCTCCAGACACCAAAGAATCGTCGTCCTAAGTACGAGTAGTTCAGCCACCATAGGGTCATCAATCACCAGAATTTGGACACCTTTTACTAGGAGGATCTCCCTTAAAGCAGTAAAGAGAACAATCCCACCAGCCGAATGGCAACCACTCTTAGTGGCACCATCCCACATACACACAATCCTATCAGCCTCCACCGGAGCCAGCTGATGTGACCCCGGGGGGCGAATGACGTGCGTAGGGCCAACAGGTGGCAAAGCCATCCATTCCTCACATTGCTGGTGAAACTGACGCATCAACGCAGGGAAACCGAACTGTTTACCCTCAAAGACCACCTAATTACGCGATCGCCAGATCCTCCAGAGAACAGCCACAACTGCCATGAATAGCGTGGGCTGATGAATCAAGGCTAGCAGCTTCTTCAGAAAATATGTAAATGTATGCCGAGGCAACCCCTCTCCCAAGTATTCCAACCCCGAATAGTCCCAAAGTGCTCGAGCAACCGGGCAGTATAGAAATAAATGCTCCATTGTCTCAGAACTAGCCCAACACACCGGACAACGAGGATGGACGGGGACCTTCCTCGCAATTAGCGCCTCAGTGGTTGGGAGGGCCCGATTGAGGATCTGCCAGACAGATACCTTCAACTTTGGAGGGATATTAGCATACCATACCCTGATCCAACTGGCCTTATCCATCCAATTTGCCAGAGATTTCCAACCTCCCTTCCTCCTATCAAGGGAGACTGCAAGATGATAGGCTGATTTGACAATGAAAACCACGTCCTTCATGTCATGCCAGATCATCCTGAAAAATCTAAATATATTAGCATATATAGTTTTTGTGACTTTTTCTTGGTGATTAATAGGAAGATAAATTCTTTGCTTGGAAATCTGTTATTTTACTTGCAAATTAGGTTGTTAAAAGGGTGCAAGCACATGATGTTTTTTTTTTATTTGAGGGAATGGTGCAAGCACATGATGTTGTATATAAGTGATAGTAGTGGAAGTGCAAAAGTATTGAGTACTCATCCCTTCTCGAGAAAAGACAAACAACAAAGAGCATGACAATAAAGGCAGTTTTCAGTTTTGTATTTTTTATCTTGTTCCCATTAATTTCACATTGTAGTGGTTTCGATTACTATGTGTTAGCACTACAATCGCCAGCTTCCAGATGCCATAAAGCATTTGATCTAGCCGAGACGAGCATGTGTTTTCCTTGGTACCCTAACGAATTTACTATACATGGATTGTGTGATTCATTCTTCGAGAAAATTAAGGTATGGACAACTTCGGGTAAATTTTTAATCATACAATTTGCTTTTATTCTTCTTGCATTATTTATTTATTTATTTTGCACTTGGAGTAACATAAATTAATGGAAAAAAGTCTAATTCACCTCCACCATGGATACCAGATGTTTGACCGTCTCTAGAATGACCTCCAACGCCTTCGACCGCCTCGGTGTAAACGAACATCTCTACTGTAGAAAGATTATTGGACTTCAAGATTTTGAGCATGACATCTACTTCATCCTGAGTGGTTATGAGATATTCCTCATGCCACAACGACCCGCCTTGTCTGTTTGGATACCGGTACACCATACGATCAACTCTTCTCGTGCCATCCATGCAAGTAATGTCAGTACACATTTGATGGAGGTCTTCAAGCATCAGTCTCGTAGCGACCATTATTTTCTGAAAATTACCAGCGATGTAACATACCCCCTTTCCGGTTTTTTCCGTGTAACCATTCCACTGTAACCCAAGCGTGAACTTTTGGAATGCCATCTGCAATAAAATCGTAATTAAGTTAATATCATAAAAATCACAAATCACAATTAAAAGTAATGCAAAATAAACTTATGAGTTGACGTTAATCGCAAAAACAATAAAAAAGTAGGATGCTACAACATAAAATTGAAGAAGAAGAAGAAGGAGAGGGGTGAAGAGAAGAGGTTTCCCGGGGCTGCCTTTTATAGGCAAAATCATCACTGAAAATCGCAGGGGGAGGGGGCGTTTTCATCTGCCATGCAACCCCATGTCTGTAAACCTGCATGGCAACATGCTGGATGTCGGGAAAATGGGGTCGACACACAAACCGCAGAGGGGGTGTGGTTTGTGTGTCGGCAAGGGCAAAACGGCATGTTGAGGATGCGGTTTGTGTTGGAGAAACAGAACTGCGACTTAACATGCGGTTCTGCTAGGTCAGCCAACAAACCGTCTGGTCAAGATGTGGTTCTGCTAGGTCAGACTTATAACCGCTCTTTAGAGCTACGATTTTGGCCCAACAATTCAAACCGCTTCCACAGGATGCGGTTTCAATGTAAACCGCACCTCAGCCGTGCGGTTTTGAAAAAAATGGCTATTTTTGGAATTTGTGTGGGTTGGGTGCTATTTTTGTTTTTTTTTAAATGGTGCTATTTCTGGAAAAATCCCATATGCGAGTAATATTTTATATTATTATAAATATATGAACACTTTAATGAGTTATTCTTATGCCCAAACTAATCGGGCCAAGGCTACCAGACTATTAACCCTCAATCCACTTATTCGACCGGACCAATGGACTAACCCGCTTGAAACCTTACTAAATACTAATATAGTTAACAATGAACTAATAAAAGAACAAATGATTCACAAACTTTAATATCGCATAGTAGTAAACATCCATTGTAAATTTGTAATCAAGTGTGGTTAGGGTTGCAAATGAGCCAAGCCGCTCGCGAGCAACTCGGTGTTTGAATTGGTAAAACTCGTTCGACACTCAACTCGTTATTTAACAAGCCAACTCACGAGCCGACTCGTTAGTAAACTAGCCAAGTTTGAGCTAGACCATGTTCAGCTTGATAAGCTCGTGAGCTAGCTTGACTCGGTGACTTGTTGAGCTAAGCTCACGAGCTGGCCTGTTGAGAGCTTGTGGAATGATTAATTACTCTTCTGATCATGAACATTATCTTGTTAATATGAATGTGTATGGAAGTTAGCTGTGATTTTTAGTTTCTAGTGTTCTTTTTATCATTTAAATTCTTATTTTATACACATTTTTCCAGCTAGAATGATTTCAAATCGAGCTCATCTTGAGTTGAGTTTGTACTCAACTTGACAAGCTGTGTTAATGAGCATTTACCGAGCTCTACCGAATCGAACTCGAGTTGGATTATTTTTAATCGAGCCGAACTCGAGTTAGATTATCAAAATTCGAGTTCGAGCTAAAAAATTTACAAACGAACCGAGTCCAAACTAAGCAAAAGCTTGATTCGACTCGGCTCGTTTGCAGCGGTGTCGTACAGAGCCAAGAGTCGACTGCTCTTTATTAAGAACCCTAGTAAACCAATAATCATGCTGAAGAGGTTGAAAAGAAAAGACGAGTGGGACATTCAATTATCTATCACAGTCAAAGGCCCATACGCTGAAGCACTGAAACAAACAAAAGCAAGTCTTCTGCACTGCCCTCTTCTACGCCCTCCTCATCAATTCATTTCATGCATTTAACTCTTCCCCTGCCTCTTTTCAAAACCCCATTCCACACTTTCCTGTCAGCAAGAAGAAAGAAAAGCAAAAAATACCCATCCATTACCACCACCGAATATTTGTTTTTACAGCAAACGGAAAAACCCAGTGGCCATTTTACATTTCCACTGCATTCCTTCCAAATCAGTTGAATGAAAAGGGAAATGGGAAAAAGGGGAAAGGAAAGGTCCCCTTCCCTACTTTATGATGTCCAATTTGCTTACCACTTCTCGTGTTGTTCCTTTCAATTGTCAGCCCTCCCCACTCTGTTTTCAATTTTCGTTTCACTCTCTCTCTCTCTCTCTCTGTTCTGTGAAAAATGGGTCAGCTAGCTGGGCCTGGCTGCAGTCTTGCATTGGCTCGATTCTCCATCCCCTCTTCTTCGTCTCCCTTGCTGCTTGCAAAAAACTACTACTACTCCATTTATGCCACCATACCAAACATTTTTAGCCAAAGAATTCCTTCAGATCCCATTTCTGTTTTTCCTATTTGCGTTCTCTTGCTCTGTTTTGCTCTGCCTCTCCCTCTGTAAAATTTTGTTTGCAGCTTCTTTTGATCTTCTCCCTCCCTCCCTCCCACCAGAAACTGAAACTGATTTCTCACATTTGGGATTACCCTCCTCCTAAAGTTTTCTTTTTTACTGCTGGTTGCTGAGTTCTGACCTTCTCTCTCTTTCTTCCTCTGTTGCATATGACTTCATGGTGACATGAAAAGGGTTATTTATTTTTTGCCCACAAAATGAGTTACCCTCCTCCTCCTCCTCCACCTTCTCCTGCTCATCACCTTGTTCATTATCATCAGCCATTTCACCCAGCAGTTATTACTACTGCTGCAATTTTGTGGCTCTGCATTATTGCTATCCATTCTCCTCAAGTTTCCTGCTTTAACGACCTTCCTCAACAGTCTTCACCGCCCTCTTCTCCCGCCAAGGCAGGCATTCTCTCATCTTATTTATATATTTCTTCCATTCTTCTTCATGGCTTAATATTGTTAAGATGTTTTTTTTTTCTTCTTGTTGCAGGGTTTGTTGGTGGAGGAGGAGAAGTCAAGATTGGGATCAACACCGCCGAGTTGCCACAACAAATGCAACAGCTGCCATCCTTGCATGGCGGTCCAAGTCCCCACCGTGCCGAGCCACGCCCGAGTTCAACCGGGTCCATCTTCACGAATTGGCACCACCGAGTCGTTCGACCCGTACTACAACCCTCCTGGCAACAGGTACTCCAACTACAAGCCACTCGGGTGGAAGTGTCGCTGTGGTGATCATCTCTACAACCCTTAAATCACCGTCACAATTCTTTCTTCCTCAATCCCGATTAATCAACTTTCTTGTCTATAGTCGTTTCTTCTCTGTTTTCAACTTTGATCGATAGTACTAGTTAGTTAGGAGAAAGAGGGAAGGAAGAAGAAGAAGAAGAAGAAGAAGAAAAGGAAAGTTAGCTGGGTAGTGATGAGTTTTGTCCTGTAATTTTGTATACCATTTTGTTGCATCTTTGCATACTGTAGTATCTACTACCTGTACATACGATTTGCCACATGGGAGGGTTTTTTTGGTTCGTTTCTCTGCGTCTTATTATCTGTTGTACATATTGCGTTCAATAGGATTTTTGCCAAAATGTCTGGTTGAAAATGAACCCAACCGTCATTGTGGTCGACTCAACGAAGGTGAAAATTTAAATCTAACAGTCCCAACCACCAATACGTTACTGTATTTTGTTTTGGGTCAACACTGGCCCTATTTCATTTTTGGGTTTTGCTGATGATGCCCTGTTCTGTTAGTACTTTTGAGTTATCTTCTTGGGATTTTGCAACCTGATCTCATCTCGTCCAATCCCATCAACGTGTCTGTCCATCGGGTAGAGAGAGTAGTAGTTATGGCTACGTTGGTTTAATACTTCAATAAATGAATGTAAGAACTAAGAAGTATAGGGTGCAATCAATTCAATTAAGAGAGGAAATGTGCCCCAGATTTTCACCAAATTTGCCTGTGCCGACGTGTTGATTCCCGGAATCTTTTTGGTGAAGAACTGACGACGATGAATGAAGGGAAGAGTCGTCATGGGCGGTAAATAAACTGTTCTTTCTTCTGATATGATTTTGTTTTGGGATATCCAGCCAGGCTGCCCAGCCAGCCACTGAAAAGGATGGTTCAGTACTGTACTACATGACAACACCTTGTTTACTGTTTGCTGCAGCTGTCGTTTACTGTTGTTTAGCGTTACGAAAGTAAACAGTCTTTTTGGGTTCTGCACATGGCCTCAACGGAGCCAAAACCCATTTTTAACCTAGGATTTGAAAGTGGCAGACTGAATTGGGATGAAAGTGGCTTTTATACTTGGCCTTCAAATTAATTTGGTTCGGGTTTTATCATTGGTTTAGTGCAATTTGGTGGAGGCACGCATGATGCCTTATCTAATTAATGACAACCATTTTTTTTCTCCTAATAACAGTGTTTGACACAACCTTATGCATTAATATGGAGGTTTCAATCCTTAAAAATGCAGTTGGTATCCAAGGGATTATTGCAGTGCATGGAAATATGCTATGGCAAAGGCAAAGAATGAGCTAATGAAACTAAGCAACTTGAAAGCGCCATGAGTTGTCGAATTTCTGCAACTGTCATGAATTGGGATGTGATAGGGTCGCGGTCTCAACAAGGTGCTTGACGTTATTGCATTTTCATATCTTATAAATAAATTGAGGTTAAACTAACCAGTTGAACCTCATTTGACTACAACCGACCCTCGTATCGAGTTTTCTGTATGCGCCTACTCGACCTCAAATTGAATTCGGTGAAACCCAATCAAAATTGGCTAGTTTAAACATTTGAATGAGCAAGTAAATTAGCTAAATCCTTCCTCCATCTCATTTTTTTCTCTCAAACACTTTATGTCTCTACTTCTCACCGTGAATTCCAAACAATTGAGTTAATCCTATTTAAATCTTTCGAACCTTAACCCACGTACTTGGTCGAATAAGGGTTGAAACTGTGGGTGAAGTGAAACTGGGCCAAATTCAACACTAACCTTGTCGCTACCCCAAAAAATCCGGCTCTATAGGGTCAAGTATCCAACTTGACCTAGCCCGACCCTATTTTCCTTTGGCTCGCACCGGTGGCTAATGAGTCGGCTCACATCAATAAGCAATTTTTTTTGGAAAATTACTTTTTCATACCAAACATATTTTCTTACAATTGAGTACCTAAAATTTACGCTTTTACAAAAAGGTCCATAAATTTTAGTGGTAAAATTACATTTTTTTAACCTTTATATTTTAACCTTGTATTATAGTGTACATAAACTCTTAAAACTTTACAAAAAGAACCAATGTGTTTGTCTGAAAAATTTCATATCACTAGTTGTTACTTGTTATGGGTCATAGGGCAAAAAATGACTCGATCTTACAAGATCAAAAGATGAATCGATTATAAAGTGGTCGAGCCGACCTTCAAAATCTGGTTGGGACTGTGGGTGTGTAGGGACAAACTTACCGCCCTAGTTGAAACCGATTTGAATAATTGATTTAGTTATGTCTTGCGCAATTCTCCATATTTACTTTTGTAAAATTGAAGTAGTCTCTCGACTCTCGCAAGTCTCTTGACTTCTGTATTATGTACCTCTGCTTCAGGTTATTACTATGTATGTTAGGGAAAGAAATCTTGTATTTTAGTGTTCATCTGTCTATGAGACTTTTTAGAAAGGATATACAAAGGGTTGTTTGAAGAACATGATTTATGATATGGATTTATTAAATCTAGAGATTTAAACAAAAACCTTGTTTTTCTGCCACAATTAGCATATCTAGATTTAAGTTTTGGAATTTAAAATCTCTAAAAAATAGAGATATCAAATCTCTCTAAAAAGTAGACATTTTAAATCAATAATTAATCGGAACAACTTTCCCTACAATATCCCTCTCTTCCTTTTATGATTATCCCGGCCGTTCCTTTTTTTTTTTTTTCACTCGATGCTTTCCCTTCCTCTCTTCTATTTCAACCCAGAAAATATTTTGTCCAGTCTCCTTCTCTGCCCAACGAGGAACTGTGTCAAGATTGCAGCTCGTCCCGCAACACATTTGCTCTCCTCTGTTAACAGTTGTTCATTGTGTGGAGGTATGTCTTTTCTTTCTTTCATCTCTTCTATTTCGACACTTGTGATTGCCATGTTGCTTTGATATCATGATTCCTTATTGCTTTGGAATCTTAATGATATTATCCCCGTGAACTTTGAAAGGATGGTGTGAATTTGACTTGGATATGTTCGTTGAATTCTAGGATCTTATCCTCTCCTGTTTCTTCTTTGTATTTTGTGCTTAGCTGCCTTGTTTGCTCTAATCCCTTATGGCTTCCTCTCCATGATTAGTGAAAGCACAATATTGGAATTTGGATATGTGGTGCTGGAATTATGGTTTCTTCTTCTACCTGATTATTAACTTGCCACCTCTCTTCTCTGCATTTCGTTTTGTGCATTCCTATCTATTCCTAACATGTTTCTCTTCTTCTACCTCGGCTGCATTTTCCCCCTCTATACATGTTTGCTATTGTGTTTGCAGGCTGTATTTTGAATTTATGATATATGCAGCAACCAATGGTGAGTTGCTCAGCATGAGTGACGCAACTGAGAAGGTTGTTAAGTGAGGATGTTATGTGTTGCACCATGTGTTAGTTAGAAACTCAAATTGATTTGATTTTGCCGCCTTCTTTGTTGAGGGCAAGTGAGTCATTTAACTGAAATTTAGATATTATATTTTTACTAATCACAATTACCAAACACTGAACTTTTTAGAATCATATCCATACAATCTCAGGAGTTAAAATCTTTAGATTCACACTCTCATTCTCCAAACGACCCCAAAAGTAAAACCGTGTGGGCTTGGTCTAAAGCGGACAATATCGTACTCTAATTAAGCTGCTCGATTTCGACAAATGGTATCTGAGTCTGGTTCAGTAGATTCGATGCGGTGGATGTAAGTTTGGTGGACCCTCATTAGGTGACCTCGAGATTCGAGATATGAGTCTGTCTGGTAGATCAAATGTGATCTACATCTGATTTGGCGGATCAAGATAATCGTTGATGCGAGAACACGAAATTCGTGATTCTTATCTTGAAAAGAGGATTCATATTAGTGTCCACCTAGCCTAGACACACTCAAACAGCCTCATAACGAAGCCCCATCACAACAAATCCAAGAGAACACGAAATTCGTGATTCTTATCTTGAAAAGAGGATTTATATATTAGTGTCCACCTAGTCTAGACACACTCAAACGACCTCATAAGGAAGCCCCATCACAACAAATCCAAGTGAGACAGGCCTAATGCAGCCACGTTAACCAACCCAGCTCTACTTCTCCACAGATATAGCAGCTACCGTAGCTAGTTCTGTGAAAGATGTAGGAAGTAGGAATACCTTCACTGAATTGGTTGCATTGCCTTGCATGAAATAAGGATGCAAACTAGGCCACTACTGGGTCAGTGGCGACACATGGTGTCTTTAACCTAGTTCTCAACCTCCTAAAACTTTCGCTAGACCACTACTACTTACATATGCTTGTCTACTTCAGTTGGATTGCATTATTGCTATTTCTCTGCATTCACGAAGCTGAAGCTATAATATGAGAGGAATTTTACAATGGTTTAAAGTATTGATCTTTCAATTTTTGTTTTTATAGTACACAGGGACGGACATAGTAAGGGTAGGGTATGTCGTCTGACACACCCTCACCCGGAATTTTGTGAATGACCTATACATTTTTTGTACAACATTTTTTAATTCGGAACTTCCGACACACCTCAAATTATTGTGAGCAACACACATTTATTATACGAGAATGATTTTCTTGTTATAAAGTTATTTATCTTAATTAGTAATAAACAATAATAAGTAAAATCAAATATATATATTTGTTTTAAAGTAATCCACACCATAACCCAACAATGAAAAAAATATACATAACCCATCCTTTGAAACTTACTATTTCCACCCCTTGACCCTTCCTTTATTTAAAATATAAAATAAAAAAATCACCCTTATCTCTTTTAGTTTCTAATTACCGAGACCCACCGCCACATACTTTTTTTATCCATTAGTTTACTTGCTCTTGAAACTGGTGTTGACTTTACTTATTGCAATTGCAAACTGCGAAAGAGCATTTTCAGCAATGAAGATAATCAATAATGAATTTTGAAATCGGCTGAGTGACCAATTTATGAATGATTGTTTAGTTGTGTATATCGAAAAAGATTTGCTTCGCAACATAAACGATGAATTTATTTTACAGAAATTTCAAGACCTGAAAAGTCGTCGTGATTCGTTGTAAACATGACACTGTGAAGTTTATGAATTAATATTTTAATTAAACTTTTTAATTATTATCTTATTTCGGCGACACACCTCTATGACAATTCTAGGTCCGTCACTGATGGTACAACTTGAAGTTGTATCATAACATAATGGTACAACTTTAGTTTGTACCATAAAGGGATTTAAACTGTAAAGTTTGTACCATAAAGGGATTTAAATTGTATCATAACATCTTTATCGTTATGGTATAACTTTAAGTTGTAATTTAAAGGATAATAGAAGTGGCTCATAATATTAACCTGTCTAACTTAAACGAATTGACTTATTTTACATTGGTTAGCAAAATGTTATTTTTGATAGACTTGCTAAGTTTACTACTCAAAAGTAATACTTAGAAAATTAGACCATATGAGATCGTGTGTTCTCTATGGCTTCCCCCACCTCGCTTACTCCAGAATAACAATTAGTGTCTGCATTGATTTTGTTGTTGAGGTTCGACTTAATCTTTCAACTAATACTAGAACAAAAGTCCGCGCTTCGCGGCGGGGATTTACATTGGTTGTACTAAAATGTTTTTTAGGGTGAACTGTGTGTTTCGGTGTTACAAAACATTCTA